AGAGAGAGAGAGAGAGAGAGAGAGAGAGAGAGAGAGAGAGAGAGAGAGAGAGAGAGATGAGCGATACAAGTTTGGCTGTTACGTACCTGTGAAGCACAGTCCCGTGAAGGAGAAGAAGGCGGCCATAGCCGCGGAGCTTGACCATGGAGTGATGAAGGAGGGAGAGAGAGTGGACAGAGGCAGAGACTGAGAAGGGAGAGAGAAGCCATAGCCGAGGAGTGGAGAGAGAGACGAAAAAAAAAAAAAAAAAAAAAGCAGAGAAGAAAGGAGACAGCCGGGGTGAAAGGAGGCGAGGAAGGTGAAAGGAAGAAGAAGGTTGGTGACGGAAAGTGAAGCCGGCAGCCATAGCCGACCGGGGAAGTTGACCGGGAGAGTTGACCAGGCGTTGATCGGTGTTGACCGGGAGTTGACCGGGAGTTGACCGGGAGTTGAGCAGAGGTGCTGACCAGCGTTGACCAGGGGGCTACTGCAGCGTTGACCGAGCGTTGACCAAGTCGTTGACCATGATTTTGACCAAGCTGGAGCCGGTATAATCTCGCCAAGCCTTCAGCCTATCCCTCGGCCTATGGATGAGCACACACCCTGTGGTACTTGCTGAGTCCAGTCTGTCTATCTCTTCTTTCTACATCGAGTCTCTTCTGTCCAGGTGATAGTACTCTGTGGATGAAGGATAGGCCTTGTTGACCAAACCCCTACCGGACCAAGTAGGGCTAAAGACTGTGTCTGACGACTCGATTGTCCCGGAGGCCTAACCCTCCCAAGGACCGGTATAGACCGGCGGGCTGCTCGGTGTGGCACGGTAGGCCCGAAAGGCTGAGTTGTGGGCTGCGCAACAGGCAATCTAAGTGTTGAGAGACCTGCTGATCGCGTCGTCCTGTCTGCGACGTTAAATAATTTCTGAGGAGTTACGGGGGATCTCCTTAAATGCCTCCTGATCAGCAACAGGTCTAGTAGTGACAGCCATAGTGTAGGTCTAGGCTAGAGACCCTAGTTGGCAGGATCCCTGTCAGGATTCTGTGAGTCTTTAGATTGAGTCAGTAGGTTTGTCAGTCAGGGGTTAGAGTCTACGTGGTGAGGTTTGGAACCGTCAATCCGGTTGTGCACTTATCACCATGGTTGAGACCCGCAGTGGGAAGAACACTAGCCCCTACACCCAGGAACAGCAAGAGAAGATGGCCGCCTTAGTGAGAGAGAACAAGGAGAGGAAAGAACTCCTGAAACATGCGAAGTTGAAAGCAATTGCAGAGGAGCAGGCGGCGAAGATGAAGAAGTTAGAAGAAGAGATGGAGGAGAAGAAAAAGGTTGTCGAGGAAGAAGCAGCAGCAGAAGCAGAGGAGGAGAGAAAACGCAGGGAAATAAAAGGAGAGAGTAGTGGCACGGCAAAGGAGGATGCAACAATGGAGAAGAAGATTAGTGAGTGGATCGCTAATTTATCATTGGGGGAAGATGAGGAGGCACAGTTCTATGTGCCACAGGATGAGAGAGATGTGTTAGCCAGCACGCTAGCAGCAATTGAGGACCCCCTGGAACGGCAAGAAGCAGAGGAGGAGAAGAGGTTGGAGTGAAAATTGAGGATGAAGAGGGAAAATAAGAGAAGAAGGGAGGAAATTAATAGGCTGACCGCGGAAGTGGCAAAGGTGAGAGACTGTAGACAAGAGGTGCAAGCGCAGGAAGACATTTCTGCAAAAATGGATAAGATGTTGGGGTACTTGGAAGTGTTGAGTGCGGCCTGAATGGAGGAGCGCCAAGCTAACCAGGGTCACGATGTGGCCTTGAGTGCCATGCGGTTAGGATTTCGAGATTTTGCGCGTGATATGGTCACCCACGTTGGAGGCGAAGTCAGGCGATTGAGAGACATCGTGGGGAAATTCTGTGAGGGCGCCATCGAGGGTGCCAAAGCAATAGCCGCTGTAGAGAGTGAGGCTAGGCCTCGTAAGGAGCCCGTCAAGCTTAAGTTTCCAGATGCATACGGCGGGAAGGAGGAGAATTTTGATAATTGGGAGGCTAGTGTAAATAGTTATGTGTATTTACAACACATCTTGACAGAGGAGCAAGTCCTCGTCGCCTTCCAGGCCCTCAAAGATGAAGCGGCCAGTTTCGCTAGATCCCTTGCGCGCGCAGCCGGTTGTGAAAACAACCTAGTTGCATATTCTAAGATCACCTCCCTTCCTCAATTCTTCAAACTCTTGAGGGAGAGATTTGCGGACCCAACGAGAGGCGTTAGAGCCTCTGATAAGTTACAGACCATCCACTCACGATAGTGGAGGAGTGGGAGAGCACTCAAGGGCGTCATGGATGACTTGGTAGCCGTCCCAGACCACGGGGTCACTGAGCCCCAGTTGGTCCAGTTGTTTTATCGTGCCATGACAGAGCCCCTGTGCGGGCATTTCTTTGATAGATCTCAACAGGCCGACATCACGTATGATGTGCTGAGTAGAGAGGTGGTCCTGTTTGAGTCGAAGTCCATGCTAGTATCCACTTTCTGGCATAAGGACCTGGATAAGGGGAAAAAGTGGAAAGGGCGTACCATCTCTGGCCAAGTCAGGGCCAAGGATCACATGATCCTTACTTTAGAGGAAAGTGGTACAGATGAGGTCCCATATAGTCAAACCGAGTGGGGCCTCGAGGATGAGGACAGTAGCGTGGGGCAGGGGAGGTCCTATGTTGCTGTCGCGGCTGGAGGGAGGCCGCAAGGTAGAGGAGGAGGCCAGGGCCAAAGGGGCCAGGCCATGGGAGGCCGAGGACCGGGCGCACAGGGGGTTGGCGGACAAGGGAACCGCCAAGTGGGAGGTAGGGGTCAAGGTCCCCCGCTGAATCGCCAGAGTTCTAGTCGGTCCCCGCAGCGACGAGGTGGAAGGCCACCTCAACAATCAGGAGGATAGCACCCACGCTTGCCACAAGGCAGGCCTTGGGAAGATTTGGGCTTGGACCAGCGTGTATGGCAGGAACGCGTGGACTTGGGTCAGTGCGTGTTTTGTGGTGACCCGGCCCATGTAATTAAATTTTGTCCTAAGTACAGACATGCCCGATGGGCTGCCCAGCAGTCAAAAGGCAGCCGCCAGTAGGGATCGCAACTGCCCCTACTTCAAGGCCATGTGGGGAAGCGAGCACGCGCTCCCAAACCACATGAGCCTATGGCAGAGGTTGCAGGCCAATGGCTAGCTAGCTGTCCAGAGATTGCTTGTGTTAGCGTCTCTCTAGGCACTTCCCTAACAGGCGTGGCAGAGGAATTCAAGGAGAGGATGCTAGCCTGGGTCAAAATGAAGAAGGAGAGTAAGGGACAACTAATCCTAGTTGATGTAGAGGTGTTCAGGAGTAGAGTAGGGGCACGTATAGATTCAGGGGCTACCCGTAGCTATATTAGTCGTAGAGCGTTGAAGAAGTTGAGGCTAGGATTGAAGGTCCAAAAGTTGGCAGACCCCATAGTCAGTGTCCTCGCAGACAACCGCACAATGCGAGTTGAGGACTACGCAGAGGGAGTCCAGGCGTACTTTCGCCTAGAAAAAGATGGGAAGGTGGAGAAAGTCCTCCATTCCCTGACTCTCCTCGTACAGGATGACCTTCCTTTTGATATAGTGTTAGGAATGGATTGGCGAGAGGCAGCAGGGGCCACACTCCACTTGAGAGAGCATGAGTGTAGGCTCCCTAGTCCATCAGGCGAGGTCAAGACTGCCCGCCTGTTTCATGTGTCAGGTGTCGACAACACTCTGGCACATTGCTGTCTTAGTGCTCCCACGTTCGTGCGATTAGTGAAAAAGGAGCAGTTAGAGGATCAGGTCTTTGTAGTTTATGTTAGACCTGTCATTGAGGCTAAGGAAGAAGTTAGTTCCACAGATCCAACCATTGCCAAGCTGCTGGAGGAGTTTAAAGATTTGATCGAGTCGCCGACAGGAGTAGTGCCGCAACCAATCCAGCACAGAATAGAAATAGAGCCTGGCAGTAGTACTCCTAAGGGAGCAGTCTACAGGATGTCCCCTAGAGAGTTAGAGGAGCTACGTAAGCAATTGGATGAGCTCCTGGAGAAAGGTTGGATCAGGCCTAGTTCGTCTCCTTTTGGAGCACCAGTTTTGTTCGTCCCCAAGAAGGAAGGAGAGTTACGTATGTGTATAGACTATAGGGGTTTGAATGCCATCACAGTGAAGAATGCTGAACCACTTCCTAGAATAGATGATCTTTTAGATCGGGTGCAGGGTTGCAAGTATTTCTCAAAGATAGATTTGAAGTTCGGGTATCATCAGATAGAAGTTCACCCTGATGACCAGTACAAGACTGCATTCCGGACTAGATATGGGCAGTATGAGTTTATAGTGATGCCCTTTGGACTAACCAACGAGTCAGCTACATTTCAGCGTTGTATGAATGATCTGTTTAGACCGTGGTTGGACAAGTTTGTAGTAGTCTATTTAGATGATATATTAGTATTCAGCAGGACCCTCCAAGAGCATCAAGGTCATTTGAGGCAAGTCATGTAGAAGGTGAGGAAGCTAACTTCAAGATTAACGCGAAGAAGTGCGAGTGGGACAAGACACAAGTCTTGTACTTGGGCCACGTGTTAGACGGAGATGGCATTAAGCCAGAGGACAGCAAGATAGCGGCAATTAGAGACTAGCCGACACCCCGCACATTGACAGAGTTGCGGTCCTTCTTAGGCCTAGCTAACTACTATAGAAAGTTCGTGAGGAACTTCTCTACTATCGCCGCTCCCTTGCGCAGGTTGCTTATATTTTATTTATTTTTTTTTCCCTAATTCAGAGGTCGGTCGACCGTGATTCCGATCCTCCCTGCTCGATCACGACCCTCCGCAACCTTTTGTAATCAAAAGGTCGTGCCCCCACCGCGCTCCGTATGCTTTCCAAACCCAACCGTTATTGGGAGGGTTCATCACTGACTCAATCAATCAATCAATCAATCGATCAATCACCTTGGATTGATTCATGACTTGATTGGTTGATTGATTGATTGGTTGCCGGGGGGGTCGTTTCTCGTGCGTGTGCACACACACACACACACACACACAAACACACACACACACTCGCACGTGCAACGAAAGTGCTCTTTTTTTTGTTCTTCGCCTTCTTCTTCTTCTTCTTCTTCTTCTTCTTCTTCTTCTTCTTCTTCCGAAACAACAATACGAAACAAAACGACATGCAAACTTGATTGATTGATTGATTGATTGATTGATTGATTGATTGATTGATTGATTGATT